GGGGGGGGAGGCCTTCAGTTTTCTAAATACGTTAGTTTGAGCCTTTTCTACGCCACTTTTGCGCTGTTGCAGACTATCGCCTCCCCTATTCATCCAAAAAAGAGCCCTTCATTCCTCCATGACAATTCTCGTCCTCCGGACGATGTTGGCAAAAAATCAATCAGAGTTTCACTACAAAGCAAAATCAACTCACTCCATGGCAGCCTGATCCATACATCACAGGATAATTACCGTAATACTGTGGAGCATATCCTAAATATCCACGTAAATTTATAAATAACAACAAGTAAACACATCTAACTAGCAATTTCGATTGATGTCTATGATAAGTAGGGAATATACTACTTGATGAATATCACTACCTTCCTAGAGAGTAGAAGTAGGGATTCGGGCCCATGCACTCTATACAATGCCGCTAACTCCACCCACTCCAGCCACTATGAAGAGTTGGCGGAGAACCTGATTGACAGTGGTGCCCTTATGGTGCCGGGCAGGACGAACATCAGAGTGGGCTTTGACAGCATATATGGGGTCTAAAACTCTGAACCCTTAAGGAGACTCTGAAAAGCTTTCCCGTTAGCCTAATTATATCCACTTCCCTCGAATTTACACTATTAGTTTCACGTCTGAAAGATGAAGGATAAGTCTGTGGGGTTATTCAATTCCGGTGAAGAATGCGCCCAGGCATTCGACTCCCATTCACAATCGTAGTGGCTTATTGAATGCGTATTTGCCCTATACAATGACTTGCAGTGACCAGCCGATGTACCATTCACCGCTCTCATCCTCCCAAACCAGTCTGGTACAAATTAACCATCCGACAAGGGTAGTACTTGATGCCATTCCATCCATTTTCTGGCTGGAGAAAAAAGTCTGAGGAGAATCTGAACTCTGAAAAAGTCTGAAAAGGCACCTGAAGCATAGGGTCCTTGCTGTACTGGATACTGGTAAGGAGCAGCTTGCTGGTAGGCATTATATGGAGGCTGCATGAAAATTCCAAACTCTTTTCGTAGTTATTTATAAAACATTTTAAACCCCAAGTTAAAGCTAGGTGATAGAAATGAAATTACCTGCACTCCGGGTACAGCCTGTGGGTACGGATTTGGGCTCACATAGGGACTCTGAGCAGGATAAGGATATTGAGCGGTGTATGGTTGTGGCATTGGCATCACTTGTGCTGTAGGGGTTGGGTTATAGGTCTGCTGGGGAAGTATCTGTACCTGAGAGCTGGATGGATAAGGTGTAATCGTGGCCTGTGTGCCAGTTGGGTACGGTTGGACCTGATACGGTTGTAAAGGTTGGGTCGTGAATGATTGCGGTTGTAGGGGTTGTATCGAGGACTGGGTTGAGTAGGGGGTTTCAGGAGGCAGTGCAACACGATACGGTGTTGGAGTTGACGAAGACGACGTGCTTTGAGCCTGTTGGAGTGCTGTCGGAGTGTAGCTGGGGTTATTCTCTGAAAAATGAAGAACACACTGAGAGCCCGATAAAAATCAATTATTGATCGAAATTACCGTATATTGGTGGTTTATTCGTAGAACTGCTCTGCTCGAAAGGATTCCAGGATATGGAATTGGATGGTGATCGATTCTGTGACAGTTCCGGGGTTCTGTCTAAAACGCCAGCGGGTTGTGATGGCAGAGGGACGCCAGGCATTGGGTTGTTCACGATAGACGATGACAATCCTATTTGAGGAGGGCCAGGAGTAGGAGTGAGGACGGTGAAAGGCGATGGCACTGGGGCTGGTGTGGGTTTGGTTGTCAACGACGACGAAGCACCTGGTTTCCCTATAACAAACTATCTTCAGGTTGAATAATAGGTCTTTGGGTGAGTCAGACCTTACCTAAGCTCAATCGTTGCATATCGGCCACGGGAATATAAGCACTGGAACTTGTTGCCTCATCATAAGAGGGGATGGGATCCAGAAGAGAACCTAAAATCTCACGAATAAGCCTTACAAACTTGATTTTGCACCATTAATTCATTGAGAAGGAAGCTAGGTACCTTGCGGAGGAGTGAAGACGACCTCTTCGACAATCAAAGGGCCTTCAATGAAGACTTCTCTGATCTCCGCTGGGCTAACTCGATGAACGTAATCTAACAGATGAGTGTCGTTGTAGTACAGCTAAAGTATGGCAATTTTAAATGGCTCGAAAGGCTCTAAAAAATGTGCAAGTTCCGATAGGAATCGGTAGCCGACAAGAAAAGGATTCTGCTTTTCTTCTGAATCATTACAGCTAGGAAATTGAGCGCCGGTCTGAAAAGCAGAGCTCGAGCTTGCTGAATCACCTTTTATCCAATCTTACCTTATTTAGCAAGTGAATTTTGCGGCTTTGATGCATTTTCGTTACAGCGCCCACATAGGCGCACCATCCAACACTACCAGAGCCCTGGATAGCTAATTTCGTGCTGGATTCCCACGGTAGCAGGCATGCACGCGTCAGAGGTCCGCTGGTAACGACCGTATTCACCATTACATTCAAATGTCACCTAACTGCGCTATCCTTGAGAAGGCGGTGAGGTCTCACAAACCCAAACCCTAGGTATGTGGATTTATACTCTGTGCGTCGCGATTAATAGTTAGTTGTCTCGCGCGCACCATTGCGGTTTGTCCTATGCTCGTACGGGGAAGGCGATATTTCTACTTGGATTCCCACTTCTACTTCCAATGCCGCCGCCCATATGGTGTCACCCCTGACCTTTTGACCTATAGGAAGCATTCCTATCAAAATTTGCCTTGCAAAAATAAACCGAATACCTCGGTCACATTTGGTGTAATATGAAGTTTCATTGAGAATTTCATATCCAGTGGAACGAAAATTGATGCCTCGTTGTCATTTGTATATCTTCCATCAATTCGTGCGCGTATTGAAACCTAAATGAAGGTGGAGCTGCATAGGCTACTGTAAGCAGTACTGTAGGGCAAATTACCGTACCTTTCCACTTTTAGCTATGGGGACGTTTACGATAACAGCGATATCTTTGGCAGTCGCCATTTGTATCGTAAAACTTCTAAAAGTAGAATAATGAACGATGGACTCACTTCAGGGTAGCTCATGATGAACAGGTGCTCTGTCACCTCCTAGAAACAACTGTCAGTTTCAACAAAGATCATAAAATTCAAAAAATCAAGACGAAGTGAGGCTTTTTCAGGAAGTATTTGCATGCCATGTATTGTCTCCTCGATAGTCCAACACTTCCTCCATGTCCTGCAGGGTTTTCAACAGATCTCGTTAGAAATCTCAAATTATTTATTTATTTATTTATTGAAGACGTTGCATAAGGCAAACGTAGGAAAATTTCTATCGCTAACAACACAACGTAGCCTAATTATACGACAAGAGCTTTTTCTTAGCGAGAAGTTTGAAAAGTGCAAACGTGGAAGTGGTAAATGGCACATCTGATTTTAGAGATATAAAAGTAGTGCCGGCTCGGCAAGTAAAGCTGTACCGTCTGATGTTGGTTTTCGGCGTTGCATACGAAATGTTAACTTTACCACCTCTGGTTCTAGATTCCAACTTTGCATAGAATTTGGATACGTCGATTCTAGCAATACCAGTCAGCAACTTGAACACCATACATATATCAAAAACCTTCCTACGAGACCATAAACAGTGCAATTGTAAATTTTGATTCCTTGAATTTGGCCGAGGGACTTTACCATAAGTAGCATCACCAGATCTAATAACCAGCTTTCGGGTGGAATTATCTTGGATTTTCTCAATCAACTGAATATCCTTCATCTTATATGGGCAGAAAACAGACGTTCCACATTCAACTACGGGACGTATATACGTTTTGTAAGCCTTCAGTAAAATATCCTTATCACTAATCGCTAAACCTTTGAAGACCTGGTATGTTCGGAAGATAGCCTTTTTGAAAATAGCCGCATAGTGATAGCCTTTTTGAAAATAGCCGAGAAATTAAGCTTATTGTCATAGTGGAAGCCCAGATCTTTAATTCCCTTTTCGTTAACACCATAAAAGGGCTACAGCGGCTTTAGCCACCCCATCATTCCCGGAAGCCCAGTTTTTACGGTTGTAACTATGAATTAGAGCAACGGAAGACGAGCTTCACAAATTTCAAAAGCAAGTTCTGCTGCTCAAACAGAATGGTCGGAAATAGTTCAAATAAAAGATAGTCTCGAGGGAGGATTTCATTTTTTTTGTTATTTCGGACTTTTCTGGACGAAATTCTCTACAAAATGGAAAGAGGTACTGAAAAGTTCAAATTGAAATGTCCCAAATCGCACCTACTTCTCTTTAGCTTTAAACGCCTGTGCTGTACAAGAAATGGACGTGCCGATGGCGCATCCACTGTGGACCTCCCGTCGGAATGGCATATTCTAAAGAAAATTCCTTCAGATGATCATTATGCCTGGTAGATGGAAGAGGATAGCATATTTGATATTTAAGTCAAAAATTTAGTAATAGTGGTCATAAAATTACAAAAAAAGTTTTCTTAGAGATGGAATGGACTTCAATACTTTACATACATAATTAATGAAGTGAAAAAAAACGAATAGGGTTTCCTCCAGGAGCTCTCAGTTGTCCGCAACAGCTCAACTGCGATGAAATTTATACTTATGACTAGCAGCCATTCAGGGTTACCTGTTCTGTTATTATTCAGGGTTACCTGTTCAGGGCTGTTATAGAGAGTTACTACAATCGCTTAAAGGTTCGTTATTCAAGAATTCAATGGTTTTAGAAATCCCTTATTGGTAGGCACCACATAGGTCATCGTCTTATCGGAAAGCGGTGTAGACTGGGAGGGGGGGAGGGGGAGGA